GTGCTACCTCGTCAGATATTGCTACCGTAGCGCAGTAGCACAGATCAACAGAACACCAGCCTGGGGAATTGTGTTTGCCTCTCTGGGCACCGGTTGTCCAGTGGTAGTAGATGGGCCGCGCTCAGTGCGACCACCCCCTGGGCTTGGTGGGAACAGACTGGAGTGTCTGACTGGAGTCAGGCGCCTTGGTGCCGGGGAGTCCAGCGTGCGTCGCAGCCTTCAGGCTTCCGTGTCACCAGTGCTGAGGCACGGGAGTCTCCAGAATGCAAGTCGAGGACCTGAAAATCGGCGAAGGACACGCGTTTTCCTCCCCAGCACCAAAACGCCTGACTTCAGTCAGACGCTCCAGTCTGAAGTTCCAACATGAACACCATGTTGGGAGGGCGGAGTTCATGTAAACAAAAGGTTGGGAGGGGGATGCAAACAGCACGTTCTGAAGAAAGCTAAAGAGCAGGCAGAACTGAAAATGTGAAATTTCATTATCCGAGATTCATTTTGTGATTTAAATCAAACGAACATGTTTTGTAGAGCCCACATGGATCCTAACTTGTTCTAGGACCCCCCCCATATTAGGTCACCTTTAAAAGTGATTCTAAAAACTGAGTAGGATTCCTTACAGAAGTCTCAGTGAGTTTACTGCAGACAGCTGTGGACAGAGGACTGAACAAAGAAAAAAGCAGCTCTGAGGCCTTACTTCTGCTGCATTAGACGGATAATCACTTTTTAATAACCTTCAACTTTATTTAGGGCTGCAGGGCGAAGGCCTTTGAACCTTGTATGACCCAGAAGAACAAGGGAGGACACACTCACACACACACACACACAAACACACACACACATATATCTAACACATAATTTAGCTGTAAATTTAAAGGCCCTGCTTCCAACAGAGAAACCTCAGTTGGTGTGTAACGTGTCCTCTCAGTGCCACGGATGAATCCTGTCTTGTTCACAACAGCTCTATGCTTTGTGCTGCAGTGACTGATGGAGCAACAAAAAATACTGAAATATTGCCCCACTAAAGTGTGTGTGTGTGTGTGTGGGGGGGGGGGGTCTTGTCAGACAAAAATAGTGAAAGCCAAATAATTAAAGATGATCTTTTTGAGAGAAAGCATTAAAATCTTGACAAAACAGACATTTTTATTGAGAATGATTCTAAAACATTCATTACAGCTTTTAGCTAATGTCAGCAGACATTTAGTTTTTTTACTTTACAACGTCCACTTGTGGCTAATGGGGTCACAGGTCCTACATCCGGACCCAGGACAGACTGGGATCTGACAACCAAACAAATGTGGACAAATGGAGTCCATAGGGATGCAAGTTATCGATTAATGAATTAATCTAAAGTTGACTGATCTTATCGATCGACTAACGATTAATTGATAAGCGGCCATTTTCCTAAAAACCTGACATTTCTCTTGAATCAAGGGTCTTTCTATGAAATGAAGGGCTAATTTTTTACACACTAAATAAAAAAAGTATAGTAATTATATTTTATAAAATTTATCGTGCCAGCTGTAAACACTGACTGAATAAACAGAAAATTGTGGATTTCTCAAGCATTATTAAACTTAAACATGTTTATAAAATATAACAAAACAGGAATCAATTTGGTTGCCAGTTTAAAAAAAGAAAAGAATAGCTGTATAAAAGCACTAAAATAACCCTTGTTACTTGGTAAGACTTCTTGAAACACTTGATTTGACTCAATTTTTTCTTATTTCAAGAATCTTACCAAGTAAAATTTTCTTACTACATTGGCAGAAAATTTTGACTTAAATTGAGTCAAATTTTCAGAATAACAAGACAAATAATCTCACACATTCTGAAAACAAGATGATTATTCTTACACAATCAGTTCTTGTTTAGTAAATCAGTCTGAAAACAAGATCAAAAAGACTTTTTGGCTGATATAAGATTTTAAAACTTGGTAAGATGGACAGTTTTTGCAGTGTACTCTTTTTTCGTTGTTTTATAACTTTTAATTTGTCGTGCCTGTTTCCTGGTAATAAAATTCAATTTAAAGGATTTCTGTCTTCAAGTTTTCATTGTTCAGCGTTCGTTCCTTCAGGCAGCTTGAAGCTGAGCCAGTTGACTCTGTCCCCACCGCTCACAAGGCTGGCTCACAGCTCAGGCGCGATATTGTGACGACCTCTTCATCACATGACACCGGGAACATTTCCCTCTGTCAAAATCATGAGCAGAGCGGTGAGCAGGAAAAGTAGAGCCTGTGTGTGTCGATGCGCTGCAGCGGAGCGAAACAGGATTGAGGGAAAGTCTGTGATGAACTGTAAATGTCAATAAATAAAAGAACACTGTTGACTGAACGAGAACAAAAAAAAAGAGTGAAAAAAACTTTTTTTTTTCAAACAAAAAAGCTCAGAAAAGCTTTTGGTTAAATGAAACATCAATTCAAAGCGGCCAGGTGTTTCCAGTTAAACACATTCACTCATCTTAGCAGGCCTCCTTAATATTCTGGCATTCTTCCTGATCCCTCACTAAAACCAAAGGTCCAGCTTTGACCTTTATTGGAACGTAAAGAAGTTCAGCTTCTGTTTGTTTTAAATCCTTCGAACCTCTTGGTATCTTGCTGTGACAGAAAACCAATAACTGCATTAACTGAGGTATGCTGAGGGAATGAACACGAGAGAGAAATTGTAAAACAGATGAGTAACATGAAAAAGATGCGTGTGCTCAAATGGCTGTTTGGACTGAGACATTTTAGGAAAAAAACAGTTATTAAACAGTTAATGAAACTAATGCTGAGGGCTGAATGTGCTGAAATTTACTGAAGAATCTGAAACTGAGGTTGTTAAAGCTATAAAAAAAACTTAAGAAGTAGCTAAAACTGGAAGGAGCTGAATTCACGTTTCAAAAGGTAGCTGGCCAGAAGAAAAATGTAAAAAAATAAACAAATAAAATGCCAGAATCTAGCTAAAAGTATCAAAAGATTAGCTAAACTCTAAATATGAAGGGTGTCAAAGTAACCTGACCACCCTCTGCTCTAGACCCGGGAGAAAGGAGAAAAATCAAAGAGGGTGAATAATAAATTGTGTGCAAGTAGATGATTTATGCAGGAAACTATTTCTGGACTAATTCTAGATTCTAAATGATTATTGTGTTGATTTATTTGTGTATGTGTGTCAGTGTGTTATCCAGAAAATATTCAGCAAAAAAGATCATGAGTTTCAAAATATATAAGTTCCCAGTGGTGGGCACAGTTCCCCTAAAGCACTGATAGGGGAAATAATTTCCTGATTATTGCTTTAGGGTTTTTACTAATTTTAAAATTTATTAGTGGATTAGCACTTGCTAAATTTAGAAGCTAAATTTAGAAGCACTAACTGAGGTCTATAAATGTTATTGATCAACATTAACAGCTGAGGGTGAAAGCTGTCACATTTTTAGAAGAGTGTTCATGGGTTGACTGGGTTATTTTAGTGCTTTAGAATAAGTTTTTGCTGTTACGGTTTAGATGAGGAATGAACCCAAATCCAGACGGAGGTAAGAGTTTTTAAGAAAACTATTTATTTTAACAAAAAAAAAAAAAAAAAAGCTGGCAGGGCTGCTAAATAAACAAAAACTTGAAGCACAACAAAGAGACGACAAGGAAAACCATAACTGTTGGTGGAGAAACCAAACATGAACCAGTGAGGACAGAAGAGAAGTATTTATACACAGAGAGAGGAAAAGAGAGGATTGACAACAGCTGAGAGAGCACTGATTAGAAACGACAGGCAGGTGTGTGTGACAGAGGAGGAAGTAAACAATCTGAGGGAAAAAGAGGCGTAATGATGACACGGGAACACAAGAAGGAGGAATGACAAAAGACACAAAGACACACAACCTCACATTTGCTAAAACTTTCAGTGCATCAGTGCTTTAGAATTAGGGGACCTAAATATTTGAGTTAGTGTTTTAGGGCTAGTGGAACTACCTTTTAGATTAGTGCTGCCCACCACTGTAAGTTTGCTTTTATTCATAAGAACACAAGTAGAATTTTTATGGTCAAAAACAAAATAGTAAAAATAACAGTAAATTTTTAAAGAAGTCTTCAGTTGATCCAAAATGCTGCTGCTGGAGTTGGAAGGAGAGATCATATTTCTCCAGTTTTAGCTTGTCTCCACTGGCTCCCTGTCAGATTCAGAATATTATTAAAATAGTACTCCAAACATACAAAGCTCTTAACAAACAAGCTCCATCATATATTAAACATCTTATTGTTCCATATTTTCCTAACAGAGCACTTCGTTCTCAGACTGCAGGTTTACTTGTGGTTCCTATGTTTCTCCTTTAGAGTTATTAGTTCTGCTGCTACAGGCTTAAACTGCTGGAGCACAAACTGAGCACATTTCCTCTCTCTGCTGCTGTTTTTAGTCTCTCTCCTCTACATGTTTATTGTAATTATTTCTATCAACAACGCATTTCATTCCTTGAAAATCAAACAGCTGCTGCTACGTGTATTTTCACACTGCTGCCCCGCCCCAACTTGTATAAATTCACAAAATATTGGTTTAATTGGACCGAGAGAAGAATCACACTGAAACCCTTTAAATGAATATCAAGAAAAATCCTTGCAGCAATAGTAATGAATGATTTGTCCTAAAGGCAACTTATACAAGCAAGTGCAAAAGATCTTTGTGTGAAACGACTTGTGATTTGAATCCATTTCACACAGTCAAATGAGAACATTATTTGGATGACTTGCACCTCCTCCTGCCTCCCTCTCAAGAAGAGGAGGGGTTGAAGGGCAGGGATCAGCTCCTGCAGACTCAAGCTGAGCACCGTGAGGCTCAGCAGTCAGAACCGAGGACAAGTGGTCCGCAGAACCATGACCGGACCATGACTGCTGGAACCACAGGCCTTTGATTTTGGACTCTTCTCCCATCCTGAGCGTCTCTGGGGAACTTTTTCTTCATCAAGGACTTGAAGAGGTCCTGCCTCTGCTTCGGCTTTAGGTGAGTCAGAACTGAAAATCGTCCTTTTATTTAGACACCTTTTTTCACATTTATTTCAATATGCAAATATCCTACAAGCTTCTCAAGATGTTAATCTTTTTTTTTCAAGATCCGTTTTTACTAAATATTTTACTGCAGATTAGTCAAAAACAACCACATAAAAACTAATTATGTTTTTCTTTTCAACATAAAACCTTTTCATGTTTTTACAAAACTCTTCTCTGGCCTGTTTTATGGTTTTTGCAGGCTTTTTTATTTCATTTATTTATTTATTTTACAAAAAATCAGTTTTCAGCTTTAATTTTCTTCCTTGAAAAATCCACAAATAATTGAAAATAATACAAAATAATAAATAAAAGTGATAATGTTTGAAGTTCTTAGTCATAACATGGCTTTTCTGAAAACTCAAAGGAGCTTTTTTTTCTCACTAAAACGTGTTTTTGAGTGGCGGAGGACTTTTAGATATGTTTAATGTGATCCGTCTGTGAAAGCTTAAAGAAAAGGACTTTGGGAAAAAAAAAGATTATCCTCCAGATGGAAAGTAACAAAACTTTCTCTGCATTTGAGCATCGGAATTTCACTGCATTTTTCCAACACCTGTGAATCATAACAATGTTAAAAAGAAGACTGATGATGCTTAGATTTCATTTCTGAAAGCAAAAAACTTTAATATTTGATACATTGTGTATCACTTTCATATATCATCACATGATATGAGCTGGAGGTGTTGGTGTTTGGACACAGTTTAAACTCTTAGACGCCTCCTGTTTTTGCAGTCTTATCCAAAGGGGCAAAATAAAGTCAGACTTCAAGTCTCATTTTAATAGTTCTATCACATGTTCTATGGCAGATGTTAAAAATAAATCAGTGAGAAATACTTCAGGCATTTTGAAATAGGACTTTATAGAAAAGTTATTAATCATTAATATCTTAGCTGTTGTAGCTTTACAAATCACTTCTGATGGGAGAAAATGAATTTTGCTGTGAGCAGATTGATGAGGTAAAGGCTCGTCAAGTATCCAATCTTCTGCTGTCTTAATACTACAAACTGAAACTGAGATTTCTTATTAAAGGTGGGACCAAGTTATTGTTTTGCAAGTCTCAAGTCTTTGTCTTAATGTCCTGAGTCAAGTTTCAAGCAAAGACAGACAACTGTCAAGTCCCAAGTCTGAAACTTGGAATTTCAAATCCTTTCGAGTCTTTTTAACAGTGCAGTTGTATGTAAAATAGCTCTATTTTTGTTAAATCTGTATTAATCTCAAATCGTGATGAAACATGCTGCTGAACTTACAACATATTCAAAAAAATAATTTTAAAATTGCACTTCTACAGTATATTGCATAATCCAAATAAACTCAGCTGCAAAAATAGTTTTCTTTTAAAATATATTTTTCTATTTTTAAAAATCTGGTTGATTTAATTGTGTGTGCTGCAGCTCATGCACACATATGTACAATAAAAATGACAGATGGTCTGCCTTTGGTAATACAGAATGAGTGAAATTAGTTAAAAGGGCCCACTTCATAAATAATGTGTATTAAACTTTAGATTTTGGGTAAGATATTAAGGCTTTTCAAGTAAACAGGGTCAAGTCGTATTCAAGTAGTCATTGGTGTAAAACTCCAAGTCGAGTCACAACATTTTTTCAAGTCAAGTCTAAAGTCGTAAAATTAAAGACTCAAGTCTGACTCGAGCAAGTCGTGTGACTCGAGTCCCCATCTCTGTTCTTTATTTCACTCAACAGCAGGTCAAAGACATGGAAAACAAGAATTTATTCTCAGACCAGTCCTAGTAAAGAAATGATTTAAAATGAGTAAAAAGCATCTAATATCATGTGATAATAAAGCACAGAGGGAGCTTTAAGACACCTCCTCACCAGCCTCAAAGGAACTCATCGCTCCTCAGTTGTCTGGGCTTTGAAGCTGCACAACCATCAACAATTCCAGTCAAAAAAATCCACCTTAATGCTATTTTTAGACATTTTACACCACCTTCAGCTTCAAATTACACAAAAAGCAGCAGAAATACAATATCTTTGCCAGAAGTGCTCCTGGCTGTGGTAGTGCTATAGCTAGCTGCTGCTGCTTACATTTGCAAAACAGAACAAAATTATTTTATAAATAGCAGCTAAGAAGATACTGATGGTATAACCATGAGTTAGGCAATCCATTCAGAATAAAAAGTTTGTTTTATTTTTTTCAGTTTGTTATCCACAGCAGGTAATATTTGAATTGTTAAAAACATTTCACACCTAATGATCTGAAGTATGTTTTTAAGATGTTAAGGTAGAACTATTCTCATTCTACCTCCTGGGGTCAAAAAGTCACAGGTCCCAAATTCCTCGTTTGTTTTCACACCGTATATGTTTCTCAGAGCCCAACACAGGCCCTGATTATTTCCCTGCTGTTCCTAAAGTAACTAAATAAATCACTAGAATGTGATTGCTGTGTGGCTTTGTGGATCTTCTAGTTTGTTTTCTGAACTTTACACTTGATTTCACAACTCCACATGAAGTGATCCAAACTTGCTTCAGAATGTTCGACGTCTGTGCAAAACTTCTTGATGTGCTGTTATTTTTCCCATTATTATTTTTTAACCACCCAACAATGTTCTTACCTGTAATAATGCTCGAATGTTTTCTTTCCTTCTTTTGTTCCAGAGTCACTACAGAGGATCTGTGTCTCTTGTAACGAAAACAACCAAGCCCCAAGATGAAGGCGCGTCTCCTCTGCTTGCAGCTCCTCCTCTTGGTGACTCACATGCTTGTGGTCAGCGGACAACTCGAACCACAGAGGCAGCCCCCCCAGGCCCCTCTCATCGCCACCCAGAGACCTGGGCTCGTGGAGAGGGAGGTTCTGGGTTCAATGAGACCCAACTTCACCGTGCCTCGACGCCACTTTCCACCCGCGTGCCTGGGGCCCACCGAGATCCGAGACACGTTCAAGTACATCAATTCGGTGGTGTCCTGCATGGTGTTTGTCGTGGGCATCATAGGCAACTCTGCTCTCCTGAGGATCATCTATAAGAATAAGTGCATGAGGAACGGGCCTAACATACTTATCGGCAGCCTGGCCCTGGGAGACCTGCTGCATATCATCATCGGCATTCCCATTAATGTTTACAAGGTAAGGCAAGGTGATGAGGATTTATAAATGTTCAAATTTTCTTACGTAACATCCCATAAAGAAGTATAACATCATATTTTGTGCTCACAGAAATGTTTTTACTCCTTACTGGGCTATAGGGCCTTCACCCACACCAATCCTATCCCTGTAATTAAACACAAACACATGAATGAATAGAGGAGCTTTCAATTATTACTCTACTGGATTCTAAAGCCCTGTGTATCCCCTCCTGCCTCTCTGCATGATGAGCTCAGTTTTGCTTCAGAGTCAGGGAGACAGGACCAAACCGTATATTTGTGTAAGCGGGTCGCAGCGCTGACAGAACAGGCAGGGTGGTGTGGAGAAATACACGCTCACGTGACTTCCATTTATTTCCACATACATTCCAGTCCACCACCCAAAACAATATCCAAAATGTCTCATGTTGTACTTTATTTGCTTGTGTAAGGGTTCACCCTACACTTATTATAACAATGAAATAAGGAAATTATTTTAGCAAGGATCGTTTTATTTTCGGTAAAATATTCTTCCAGTGCAAAGTGAATGAACAACACGAAAGTGACTTTAGTCAGTGAATTTTGATTTGATCCATAAATAAATGTGATTGTTTATTTTACATAATCACACAAAATCACCACAGTACACTTAATTGTGAGCAATCAATTTCCTATAAAGGTTTGGAACCAACAATAACAAGCACGCTTCGATCTTCGTTAATTGTCAATCAAGCACTTAAATAGAACACAAACGTCAAGCTTTAGATGTTGAATACCAGACATTTGAGGCAAATAACTTAAGTTTGGCAAGGTAGGTTTAAGAAAAGGAGGAAAAATAAGATATTAGTTAGTTTTCCTAACTTTTAACTTAAATAAATGTGGGTTAACCAGAGGCAAGGCATTTCTCTGCTCAGCGTCAGCCAGATTGCAATGCTTTTGTAACCACCAGCTTTTACCTTTAAAGGCACAGTGTGTAGGATTTTGTCAATTCTTTTAGCCGAAATTGAGATAATCATTAATGACAATAATAAAAAACAAATCATAACATTGCAGACAAAGACCTTGTTTTCTTATTTTTACTTTATAAAAAGCTGTTTATATCTCCATGGTCGCGGGTCGCTACACAGGCAGCCGCCATCTTGCACCGCCATCTTGTCTATGAAGGCTCATGAAGGACAAACTGCGGTGGCGGCGTCAAAACGGTTTTAGTTGTAATACTATAAATGTAATATTTGTTGTCTGTCATTGTAGCTGGGATAATTTTACTTATTAAAGCTCATAATTTTACCACTTGAAACATCACTAGCCCTGAAGCTGCTGGTAGACATCGCGGTTGGAATTATCAAAGGTTTTTGACACCTGAGAGACACCGTAGCAACTCCTTTGAGTTTGGAAGCGGGGGGTGGGGGTGGGGGGAGGACCAGGGAGGATGATTCAACCACTCAACCACTAGATGTCGCTGAAAACAACAAATTGTACACACTGTGCCTTCAAAGATGAGATCAGTCACCTATCCAGGTATTCGGGGAGGTTTCTTCAGTTAGTAAGAAAATCCGTCAGGACCGTTCACTGAGCTGAACACTCCAGGCGTGTTAACTTTCAGCATCCGCGTACATCCGCGTCAAGCCATAGGAGGAAAGGCGAAGCCCAAACTGGATCCCGATTTCAAAATAAAAACTTCAGACAGGAAGATTTTAAAACAAGTTGGAAATGCCAGGCGTTGGTCGTGTCCGGCCGTGCAGCTCCCCATTGGCAGTAAAGGGTAGAACTGACACAGCTAAAGCTCTAGTTCTCCAGAGAGAACCCAGCTGCGAGTGTTGTGGATGGCACGGAAATCCGTCACTCTCACTCTGACTGTGACTGTCCGTCTTCACAGATGGGCGGTCTTTCACTCACTGCCTCTTGGGCGGAAAATGTGTTAGTGACTTAAAGAGGGTTTCTTAGTTCCGCCTTCAGAGGTTAGATTAGAAAAGGAAGATATCAAGGAAAAATGTTAATTCAGAGACTTGCCATCACCTCCTGAAGCTAAATAATGATTGATTTTGTGTAGTTCAGAAACAAAACATATTACGACCTATTTAATTATTATCTGATGAGAACTTCTTTAAAACATAACTGAAAGAATGAATTGCTTCAAATTCAAAACATTTGCATATATGATTCAGACAAGTAAAACATTGATACTTCATCAACTTTAAACCATAAAAATTAGTTAATTAAATAAGATTTTTGCACAGAAAATCCAAACATAGCTGAAATCATACTGAGGGAGAAAAGAGATCTGTCCTCTTTTCTCCTGTAACTTTGATAAACATTCTCTGATTATCAAAATGCGTAATAAGTTTCAGTTAAGAAAACAATAAATCAAATAAGAAGAAGATTCTTCTGTGTATTATCTGATTAAGAAAAAGAGAGTCTCTTTGAGAAGTTAAGGTGACCTGAAGTGACCTAAATTCAGTTCTGAGTGGAACAGAGTTTTTGTCCCTTTAAAGGCCCATCAGAGGACTGAGGTCCAAGACAGTTCCCTTGATTATTTCACTTGAGGTGACCCCTACACTTGCAATGCATAAAGGTCAAAGTGAGGGTCGTAGTACCAACTGTAGTGGTTTTAAAACTGTATGACACAAATTACTGAGGAAACAGCTAAGTTCTAATTCATACCTTGTTATTCTGTCTTGGATTCTTGTGGTTGCAGAAAAAAGACAAGAAATAGCATTTTCTCATTCCAAACATGTTTTAACCCAAGTCTTGTGTTGCAATCTGTCTCCAGCTCCTGGCCGAAGACTGGCCGTTTGGGGTGGTTCTGTGCAAGCTGCTGCCGTTTGTCCAGAAAGCCTCAGTGGGGATTACCGTGTTGAGTCTGTGTGCTTTGAGTATAGACAGGTATGCAGTCACAATCCAAACATGCTTTCTGTGCTGTGGTAGCTTATTTTTGCATGTTTTGTGAGTGCAAACAGCACCATGTGATTTGGAGATGCAACTGGGTAACAAAAGCTTTTGTGCTTGTGAGCTGCAGCTACAAACTGTAGATGAACTGCACCATAAACTAGACATACCAGTCAAATCCAAACTCTAAGGTGTCCTTGTAAACTTTCATAGAAGGAGACCTATGACCAATAATCAAAGGATTTCCATTGCTAGAGATCCAATGAGGGTGCAACTCCTACATTGGTTTTAAAGCACCTGGTGTTCCCAGGTGGTGTCCTATCCAAGTACTAACCAGACCCAACCCTGCTTAGCTTTCAAGATCAAATGAGATCTGGCGTGTTTAGGTACGGCCACAACATAGGATGCAGCTATACCACCACAGCTGCACTATATAGAATTACATAGGATGATGTAATGATGATGATGACTCCTTTATGCTTCTCCATGACCAATTATAACTTGGTTGAATTGCAGCAAATTTGGAAAACTAGCCAGTTGAGGTGGCTCGGGCATCTGGTTAGGATGTCTCCTGGACTCCTCCCTGGTGAGGAGTTCCAGGCACATCCCACTGGGAGGAGGCCCAGAGGAAGACCCAGGACACGCTGGAGGGACTATGTTTCTCTGCTGGCCTGGGAACGCCTCGGGATTCCCCCAGATGAGCTGGCCCAAGTGACTGGGGAGAGGAAAGTCTGGGTCTCTCTGCTTAGGATGTTGCCCCCGCAACCCAACCCTAGATAAGTGGAAGAAAACGGATGGACAGACGGACAAAATGTGTTTTTCCTGCCGTTCTCCACGTCACTGAGGCACTCTCTTTCAACCTCACCACACTCTATATGCCTGCTCTTGCATGACTCTCTTGGAACTGAACTACACCCCACTAMCCTGATGCTCACACCATATGTATGACATTGGCAATAGGCTGTTTTAATAACCTTGTCATGATCACAGTTGTGGCCTAGACATGAGGCCAGAGCAACAGATCCTTCATCAAATTCTTGATAATCTAGCCAAACCAGTGTTGTTTTCCTAAGATCATGGATACACCATCACGTCCCACCCACAGTTCACAGCTATCACAGTGAAAAACCAAAACAAACCCACTGCAGAAGTTTTGATCATGCTCAAAACTCAAGATACCAATGAACAGGCCAATGTTTGAAAAACCCACGGTGGTCAACCTTTCACACATAATGAGAAACTCAGTGCATTCTTGACACGTACATGATGATCTCACCAAGACTCAGAAAAAAATTAATCAAATTTTGGCTGACTTTTTTTGTTTGTTGTTGCTGCAGATTCATCATCCAGCATGGAGGGAATCTATGCAAGATGAGTTCTTTACCAAATTCTAATCTGTTGGTAACTGATCTCATGTTGTTGGGTCTTTCAGGTATCGTGCAGTGGCCTCGTGGAGCCGGATCAAAGGAATAGGACTTCCAAAATGGATGGCTATCGAGATAGCACTCATCTGGATTATATCCATTGTCCTCGCTGTGCCAGAAGCAATAGCCTTTGACATGATCACCATGGACTACAAAGGAGAATACTTGAGAATCTGCCTGCTGAACCCCATGCAAACAACAAACTTTATGAGGGTGAGCTGAGACCACCTCTTTGAGTAGATCTTTCACAGTTTAGAGGAAAATGGTGTGTGTTGATTCAGCTGTGCCTAAATGAGACGTGCAATAAGACAAGGAAAGACAGCAGTGCAGATGTGCATGCTATGCGTAGATATGAAAGAATTCTTAACACAAAAGTACTTAAACTCACGAGTCATACTGTGACAACTTAATAGCCAAATGGACGTTAGAAGGAATTCACTGAAAGCAAAGTATTGCCAATTAGAGTATATGTCAAATTAGGGAGATGGCTCCTTTTAGTTGGCAGAAATTACTGTGTGAATTTATATATGATCCAGTTTCTTAAACTCTAAAAAGTAATAGCTTCAGTTTCACCGCAGTCTTTCAAAAGACCAGGACCACAAGAGCTTGAAAAACAATTGTTTCCCCATCTGAATTGAGGTCAAACTGTGATTTCACTCTGATAAATTAGCCTCTTCTGTGTTCCAGCAGATGTTTGTGAAAATCCAGTTTTATTCTCCTCTCCTCCCTGTGCAGTTTTATAAGTCTGCTAAAGACTGGTGGCTGTTTGGCGCATATTTCTGTTTGCCGCTGGCCTGCACGGCCATTTTCTACACCATGATGACCTGCGAGATGCTTAGGAAGAAGAACGGTGTGCAGATTGCTCTCAGTGACCACCTTAAACAGGTCAGACTGATGGATTATTCAAAACTTTCTTCTTTTCTTATTTCTTATCATCTTATATCTGCCCCTATTTCTAAAAAAAATAATTCAAACAATAATAATCTTTAAATAACAAAAAGCATGAACACATTATATTTCAACAAACCAACTTTTATCATTCTCTCAAACAGTGATGGGCACAGTTCCCCTAAAGCACTAAAGCAGTAATAGGGGAACTAATTTCATTAGTGCTTTAGGGTTTATTTTGATATTAATTAGTGGATTAGCACTTGCTAAATTTATGGGCTAAATTTAGATACACTAATCTCAGCAACTGTTTAATTACCACTATGAGTGAAGTCTGTTTCAACGAATCACCTCCCTAAACTGCGTGGACACACATAAGGTTGTGTAATGTCAATAAAGAGGCTCAAGAGAGCAACAAATATGTGACTCTTGTTGACGCTGAAGAATGTTCATGGGTTGACTGGGTTATATTAGTGTTTTAGAATTAGCTTTTGCTAAAATTTTCAGTGTGTTAGTGCTTTATAATTAGGGGACCTAAATATCTGAGTTAGTGCTTTAGGGCTAGTGGAACTAATTTTTAGATCAGAGCTGCCCACCACTGCTCTCAGACATACACACTGATCCAGTATTTTTAACATCACTTCAAATTATTCCATGGTCAGATAAAGGCGGACGCTGTATCTTACACTTTTTGTCATAATTGATTACAATTTACTCTGTTTATGAGTTTTTTGAGTGTTTTGAGTAGTAGCACCTTACAGATGAAGTGGTAGATTAAAACTATAAACATAAAGAAAAAAATTCCAGCCTGTTTGCACAATTACACCATTTAATCCAAACTGTAATAATACAATACAGATTTTTAAGCAACAACAATAAAACAGCAAAATTAGAGACAGACATATTTTTTCTCAATATCATTTGTGGAAGCACGTTTACGTAAAACAATCTGCTCTCAGTGACATAAAACTCCACAGAGACCAGAATGTCACCACAGTTGTTTCAGAGCCAGATGCTGATTTGTGTGTGTGTGTATTTGTGTGTGTTCAGCGGAGGGAGGTGGCTAAGACAGTGTTCTGTCTGGTTCTGGTCTTTGCTCTGTGCTGGCTGCCTCTCCACGTCAGCCGGATCCTGAAGCTTACCATTTATGATCCAAAAGATCCAAACCGCTGCGAGCTGCTCAGGTACGGAAGGAAATACTTGGATTTTATGAGAAAAACATGAAAAAAATAAATAAGTAAAAAGTGGAACTCTTATGTGTGTCTGTAACTGTTTTAGTTTCTTTTTGGTGCTGGACTACATTGGTATCAATATGGCCTCCATCAACTCCTGCATCAACCCCATCGCCCTCTACTTGGTCAGCAAGCGCTTCAAGAGCTGCTTCAGAGTGAGACCCATTTTTTCTTTATAGATAGTTCAGGTTGTTTTCAAGCAGGGTTTTGTGGAGTCCTGAGCAGTAGTAAGTGTCTTACCTGTTGTAGACATCAATCATTCTCAGTTTTGAGAATCATGGCGGAATTTGGCAACAGCTGGTCATATTGTTGTCTGTAGAGGTTAAGTTTTTTAAAAAAAAAATAACCTGAATTTTGAATACAATTTGTAAATATTTAGTCTTTTTGCATCAGACTATTGTTTACATATCTATGGCTATGTTCACAAAAGACTGTTAGAATTGGTTTGTGGTCTGTTGCAACTCATTTCATGAGTTAAAAGTGTTGCAAAACAGATTGATGCACTCAGGTTTGTAGATGCACAAGTAATGAGGTGTAAAAAATCACAAAGTTGTGTTTATTTAAAGGTCTGCCTGCCCATTAACTTACTCCAGTTTGATTATTGACCACACTTATCTCATTTTGCTACAGTGCAGTGTTGATCCAAATAAGTCAAGTTTGTATTCATTCCTCCTTTCCCCTTTTTAAATTTTCATTGACATTTTCTTTCCATTTGTTTTAGTCCTGCCTGTGCTGCTGGTGTCTTCCTGCAGAGATGTTATTGGATGAAAGGCAGTCGTGTATGAAACTTAAAGCCACAGATCAAGCTTCTGAGCAAAGTAACTCCCGGACCACCAACAAGTCCATCACAGCCTGAGCAGAGGTGAGACAGGAGGAGGTACAAGGATAAAAAATATGATAACTCTGAAAAGAACAGATATGTATATAATACATGACTGAGTGAAGGTGGTCTCGTTGTTTTCTCTTTTATAATGTCACATAAACCGTCCAGATGTACCTTTTCCTAAAATACAGAATATAGCAAACTGGTTTAAATACGAACAAATGTGTGTAAATGATAAGCAGTGTTGTTATACTGAGAATGGCAGTCAGTTCGTGACAAACAGCTGATCAGACTCAAAATCCAAATGGAGAATGTAACTCAGACACTAAAGGCTGCTTCATACCTGACAAGACGTAAGATGGTTGTGAGATGTTCTTTTTCACTTGTACATCCCTCCCTGTTAACACAAAAATGACCTCTGGAAATGTTAGTGCTGTTTATTGTGGTGAATCAACAGGTGAAACATTAATTTGATCCACTAGGTAGGACTGTCAGACAGCAAATGAGTACTATCGTGCTGTCACTTTAAATTATTGTATTTTGACCCAAACAATCATGTGTGTTGAGTGTGTGTGTGTGTGTGTGGNTGAAGTGTATCTTGAGATTGGTACAGAAACGTACATCTGACAACACTTCTGTTGGGCTTCAGTAAGACTCTTGCAGTCCCACCATGAAAAACAAAGCCGTTACATCCAAGATGGAGAAACCAGGAACCTCTGTTTGGACTGAGGATGAGGTTGGCTTACTCCCACAAGTTGAAAATTTGAGTAGCACAAACCAAATGTTGCTATCTGCTGTTGTGCATCTATTTGCACAAGTTCAGAAAAACTCTTGAGTGCAGCTGCTGGCAGAGCGCGCAAAAGATTTAACACCTCCTTGAGGGATCCCAAAGATCTCCTCTCTTAGACCTGAGAAAACCATGGCATTTTGTTGTGCGCATAAACAGCCAAACCGCAGCAGAAATGCCAAGGTTTCACTCAAAACTGGTGTTGTATAAACTGGGCCTGAGAAAAAAAAACTCTAGCGAGAATTCCTGGTAAGTCCTCCCACTGCAGCACACGTCACACACAAACAGAAACAACACAACGACAGCATGGTTGGCAGAGTGGGTGTTTCCTTTCAGTTTATGTTGGAGGAGAAATATCAGGTATTTTTGTAGATAATTAAGGAGAAGCACTATTTTGCTAATTTGTCTCTATGTTTGCGACAGACAGTGTGGGAGTGTGTCGCTACACTACCTACCAGCTGAGGCTAACTCTGTCTCAGCTGGTCCAATTATGTCTCCACACAGTCTCCTTACAACATGTTCTCACTCCTGACTCGTCAACATATTGACACGTGGTCAGGTGCTGTCTGCGTCCAGTTTTGAGGCGTCGGGTACCATCCTCGCGTCAGTCATTGCCGCCCGGGGCTTTTCCTGGTTGCGCCACATAGGAGTCTTTGGGTTGGGGGTCTGTGGTTAATATGAGAGATCAGGATTAATGGTTAATTTTAGGTACTAAGGTCGAGGATAGGCTGTATACGGCTAACAGAAGTTAAATTTAGGGTCTGGGACAGTTGTCGCGCATTTCCTACTCTTTTCAAAATATGACAACATGTTCTCCTCCTCCTCCGTCTCATCTTGTTAAGAACTGACATGAAGGTGGTACCCGACACGTCCAAAAATGGACGCAGACGGCTACCTGACCAAGCGTCAATATGTTGACAAGTCAGGAGTGAGAATGGGTTTCTCCTTCAATCCCAATAATTGTGTTATGTTCTTTTACAAGCTATTTGACTATCTTTAAAGGGATCCATGATTAGTTGTAACATTTATTTGATAAACATATATTTAACTGTAAAATAAAGACTGTAAAAATACTGTAGGCTGTTC